TAGATTATATACTAGTGAAAATGCATTATTTCTTTGAAAATCTTCTTCTCTGCTCCTGGGTATTAGATAAACTAACTAAGCACATAGTTATGATGAGCAAGAGCGCCTCTTCCAGATTTTTGAAGTTTATGGCTCCAGGGTCAGGGGGTTCTGGTGTTAGGGCGGGGCTCTATAGATTATATAGTGAAAATGCATTATTTCTTTGAAAATCTTCTTCTCTGCTCCTGGGTATTACATACACTAACTAAGCACATAGTTATGATGAGCAAGAGTGCCTCTTCCAAAATTGTGAATTTTATGGCCCCAGGGTCAGGGGTTCTGGTGTTAGGGCGGGGCTCTATATATTATATTGTGAAGATGCATTATTTCTTTAAAATCTTCTTCTGTGCTCCTGGGTATTAAATACACTAAATATGTACATAGTTATGATGAGCAAGAGTGCCTCTTCCAGATTTGTGAATTTTATAGCCCCAGGGTCAGGGATTCTAGTGATATGGCGGGGCTCTATAGATTATATAGTGAAAATGCATTATTTCTTTGAAAATCTTCTTCTCTGCTCCTGGGTATTAGATAAACTAACTAAGCACATAGTTATGATGAGCAAGAGTGCCTCTTCCAAAATTGTGAATTTTATGGCCCCAGGGTCAGGGGTTCTGGTGTTAGGGCGGGGCTCTATAGATTATATAGTGAAAATGCATTATTTCTTTGAAAATCTTCTTCTCTGCTCCTGGGTATTAGATTAACTAAATAAGCACATAGTTATGATGAGCAAGAGTGCCTCTTCCAAAATTGTGAATTTTATGGCCCCAGGGTCAGGGGTTCTGGTGTTAAGTCGGGGCTCTTTTGATTATATAGTAAAAATACATTTATTCTTTGTAAATATTTTTCTTTGCTTCTGGGTTCTAAGCCAATGGTCCAAGTATATATATATTTATGATGAAGAAAGGTGCATCTAGCGAAGTGGTTTTTAATGCCCCCAGGGTCAAAGGGGGGGGTGGTTATATAGCCTGAAAATAAATTAATGCTTTGAAGTCTGCTCTTTGTTATTAATCAATCATTTTATGATAAAATTTGCAAAATTTTGAAATATATGGCCCTGGGTCAGTGGTTCCTTTGGGATGAGGTGCACAACTGGTTATAAAGTGGAAGTGCATTTTCTCTTTGTTACTCTGATCTACCTCTGGGTATTAAGAAAATAGAGTAAGCATGCTAAGTTTTTTTTTTTTTTTTTTTTTTTTATATATACATTTATTTCCAATAACAAACAACATATTTTGAGGTAAAACTTCCTCAGAAGCCCTCGGTTAATACCTCACCTGGGGTGCCAGGAGCTCCCTGGATCGGTATATTTTTCAATTTTCAATTTACAAAAGTTTACAATAGAGAAGAACTAATATTTCATTTCAAAAAGACATAAATATTTCAGTAAAAAAAAAAATTCATATTTAATAGATATATAGATAAAATATCAATTTAATTACAACGTATATAGAAAAATAAAGATTATAATTCGTCTGCTAACTTTTTCAAAAGATAGTAGTTAGATTTAACACTTTTTGCACTCTTTGCTATTACATAATACTGATATAAAGACGATTTAAAAAAAAATAACATTGCATTTTGATTTACTATTTCGTTTTGCAACCTACATTTCATTTTATATTTATATATTTTGTATCCCACAATTGATATGACATTATTAAAAATCAATGTTTTGTTATTGAACTCATTATAAAATCCTACAACAATATGTTTCCAGGATAGATTTAAATTCAATATTTGAGATATTTTTTCCCATACTCCTTTTGAGTCCGTACATTCAAAAATTAAGTGTTTAATATATTCTACTTGTCTGCAAGATGTACAATTTTTTGCCACTTCTTTATTCCATTTACTAACATGATAATTACAATTCAGTTGGTTGTGTAAAAGTTTAAAATTGAATTCTGCTATCTGTTTATCAAAAATATTTAATATCTTAGCTGTATAGATATCTTTCCATTGACCATTCATTATATTGAATTCTTTTGACCATTTAGCTTCCATTATTGGTTTTTGTTTCTTTTTAGAAAGTAAAATTTTATAATAAAATCCCGATTTTTCAAATTTTGGGTTTATACTTTTCCCTTGAAAATAAAAATACGGGTTTTGTATATTAGTGTTCTTTACATTACAATAATCTATATGTAGTTTTTTAATCGCTTTTTTCATGATAAGATATTCACACAAGTAATTACTCTTTGATTCAATGATCTCTTTTACTTCCATAACATTTTTCATACCTTCTGTTGTAAACATATCTTTTACATATAAAATACCACTTTTTGCCCAATTTTTTAAGTATAATGGTTTGTTATTTTGTGTAATGAAACTATTAAACCATAGGTTTTCTGTTATTTTATTTCGTGGTGATGTTAACATTTTACACTCGTTAAAACTACAGAAGATAAGCAATGGTGCCTCTTTCAAAATTGTAAATTGTGACTTTCATGGCCTCCGGTTTAAACACGAACCAAATTTAATTGTTTGAAAGTTGTTACACAATACTCAGGTTACCTATAAGGCCCGTGGGCCTCTTGTCCAATATATGGTTGAACATTACTCTTGAAGTTTCTCCTTCACTTCTGTTAATATCTTAGTGCGGAGAAAAGAAAGAAGCTTGATTGTTCATTTACTGGAACCAGCTATGTTTATTTGCTTGTAAGGATTTTGATGAAGCTTCAATAAACAATATAGATATGGTAATTCAAATTTATTTTGGTTGTTTGGAATATTAAGGATATTCAAATCTGACATATGATTTTGAAGAATTTTGAAGAATTATCCCCTAGAAAAGGAAATATGAGTATCAGTTTGATTATCATATGTAAAATTAAATCCAAGTTCCCCTAAATAAGATTTTACATAATGTGTCTTACATACAAAGACAATGTTATTACCTGCTTTTTCAGCAGGGACCAGTACGAGCTGTTTATGTAATCTACCTAAATCTTTTAAGACAGTATCGTTCATTATAGTTGCATGTTGTTGTAAATCAAAGCCAGCGTCAAGAGTTATCAACTGTGGATGACATCAAGATATACCCATATATCCCCGACAGAGAGTTTAACAAATAACAAAATGAATGGAGATCTCCTTTTATCATCAAAATGAAAAAAAAATGGAATATCGAGTTTACGCAGGATCTTAAGAATATTTATTAGAAAACAAGAGGCCCATGGGCCTTATAGGTCACCTGAGCATTATGCATCAACTTTCCAGTGATTGAATTTGATTCATGTTTTAATCAAGATGCTATGGCATTCACAATTTTGAAAGAGGCACCATTGATCATCATAAAAATACACTTAGCAGTTGCTTAGTTTGTTTACTTAATACCCATAGGCAGGGTAGGGGAAAAATGCATTTCAAGTAATCAGTAATATTCAGCATGATCAGTAATGCCCCAATCACATATGAACCTCTGACCCTTAGGCCTAGATCCACACATTGCACAATTTTTGTTTTTCAAAAATATTTGATTAATACCAAGGAGCAGTTTTCAAACAATTCATCCAGTTTCAGTATATAAGTACAGCCCCCCTCCTTTATGGACATAAATTTACAATTCTGGAAGATTAGGACCCTTGCTCATCAAAACTATATAGGTAGTTTATCTGCTTAATACCAAGGAGCAGAGAAGAAAACTTTCAAAGATTTAATGTATTTTCACAATGTAACCAATAGAGCCCCGCCCTATCACTAGAACCCCTGACCCTAGGGCCATAAAATTCACAATTTTGGAAGAGGTATTCTTGCTCATCATAACTATGTAATTAGTTTATTTCATTCCTGGGAGCAGAAAAGAATTTTTTCAAAGAATTCATGTATTTTCAATATATAATCAATAGAGCCCTGCCCTAACACCAGAACCCCTGGGGACATAAAATTCACAATTTTGGTAGAGGCACTCTTGCTCATCATAACTATGCACTTAGTTAGTTTATTTAATACCCAGGAGCAGAGAAGAAGATTTTCAAAGAATTCATGTAATTTCACTATATATAATATATAGAGCCCCCTCCCCCTTACACCAGAACCCCTGACCCTGGGGCCATAAAATTCACAATTTTGGAAGAGGCACTCTTGCTCATCATAACTAAGAACTTAGTTAGTTTATTTAATACCCAGGAGCAGAGAAGAAGATTTTCAAAGAATTCAAGTAATTTTACTATATAATCTATAGAGCCCCCCCCCCCTTACACCAGAACCCCTGACCCTGGGGCCATAAAATTCACAATTTTGGTAGAGGCACTCTTGCTCATCATAACTATGCACTTATCTAGTTTATTTAATACCCAGGAGCAGAGAAGAAGATTTTCAAAGAATTCATGTAATTTCACAATATAATCTATAGAGCCCCACTCTAACACCAGAACCCCTGACCCTGGGGCCATAAAATTCACAATTTTGGTAGAGGCACTCTTGCTCATCATAACTATGTACTTAGTAGGTTTATTTAATACCCAGTAGCAGAGGAGAAGATTTTCAAAGAAATAATGCATTTTCACTATATACTAATTTAGCCCCGCCCTAGCTCTAGAACCCGTGACCCTGGGGCCATGAATTTCACAACTTGGGTAGAAGACTCAATGCTGATTACAATCATGCAAACAGTTTGACTGCTTGATGCCCAGGTGTAAAGAAGAAGATTTTTAAATATTGCACTAATTTTAGTGGTTTTTGTCCCACCCCCAAGGCCCCAGGGGGGCAGGGACCGTGAAATTCACAATTTTTTCCCCTTCACCCATAGATGCTATATGCCAAATTTGGTTGAAATTGGTTCAGTGGTTTCAGAGAAGAAGCTGAAAATGTTCAAATGTTAACGCACGACGACGAACGAAAAGTGATAGCAATAGGTCACCTGAGTTTACTCAGATGACCTAATAAAACAAAGCAATTTTTGTCAGGTCATTGCAATATTGTCAATACAGTTAAATGTTGTTTGTTTTTTTCTTCAGGTCACGTTCCTGAGTTCTTGTGCAAGATTTCAGGCGAAAACGTCTCGAGTTATTTCAACAACACCCATCGGTCATATAACGTCACAATGCATTCGAAACAATGTGACGTCATCCTAGAAACTAACATATCCAGTATTCTAACACAAGAGACTATTCCATGTCAAGATGGATATGAATTTTTTGGACAGGAAACTACTGCATCAGAGGTAAAAAAAAAAAAAAGGCAAAGATTTCCTGAAATAATAATGAAAGCAAGCAAATGGTAAATAAAACTGATTTTTTTTTCTCAAAACCTATTTTAGTGGAATCTTGTTTGTGGAGCCGAGGGTCTAGGAAGCATGTCCACCACAATGTCAGTGATTGGTCAGATGATAGGGGCTGCATTGATTCCCGCCCTGGCAGATAAATACGGTCGTCTGCTGATAACCTACACGAACCTAATCGCAGCGGCTTTGTGTTACATCTTAGCGGCTGCTGTTCCTTGGTTCAGTGCCTTCGTCTTCCTTAGATTACTCATTGGCGCTTTTTCTGAGGTTATTTCTAGATAATATTTATTAATATGCCTGTAACAGAAGCTGAAAAATCAAAGTGCAAAGAACGTGGCAAAAATGAAGGATAACAAACAGGGATCGATGTATAAAAACCCTCAAATTTAAAATCTGAAAACAGAGCAAATAACAGAAGCCCAGGATTTTTTTCAAAGTTCCAATTAGCTGCCTAGGGGGACTCAGCATCCTCTCCTTAGGTCAAAACCGCCGTGAACCCTAGGTATGGATCAGACAGATATATAACATTCTGTAACCCTGAGACCTTGGTATTGATTAGGTAGACAAAACATAATTCCGAACTCAAATTTAATATGAAAACATGATTATTAAAAAAAAATCCCTCACTGTTAAAAGGCCCTGAGTGCCTAGTAAAGGTCTAAAGAGCTAGGTTTACTTTGTGCAAAAATGGCCCTTTACTTATAAATTAATTAACTATCACCCTCTTTTCCGTTTCATATATAAATATAAAGTAGACACTTGGTGCCTTTATATCGTATAATTAATTTCTTTTTGAGAATCTAGATATTGCAAAACAGGCCTCGAGAAATTACAATGTTCTTGAAATTTGAAGAAAACGTGTATTTGACTTCCTTCAGTAAAGAATTAAAATATGAGCACAGCCCACGATCTAAAAAATAAAACTTATGTATTTGTTTATTTTGAATCAAAGGTTGTGAGTTACAAAGATCAAACGTAAAATTACAAATTTTGGCCATTCTCAGAAATCAATTAATAATTATGAAAGGCTAAAACTTATTAAATTATTTATAAATGAATTGAATGATAAATCTACATCTGCACCCAATCCCCCAATTCTCGTCTAAAATACATCTAGTAGAAGTGTTATTGAAATTCGTTTTAAAATTTTTGAGGAGTTTTTCAACAGTAAACACAAAGATGAAAATTTGTCGAAAGTAAATAAAGGTAGTAATTTACATGTAATATATCTATTTTTGATCCCCACTTGAAAAAGTGGGGGATATTAATATGGGCCTATCCGTCCGTCTATTCTTCCGTCCGTCCGTCTTTCTGTCTGTCTGTAACGCTTTCGTTTCCATACGATATCTCCAAGAACCCCTTGAGCTTTGGCAATGAAATTTTGCATAGCAACTTCCTATGGAATATTAAAGAACCCTATTGATTTTGAGGTCAAAGGTCAGGGTCATAAATTCGCAAATTGTGTTTGTTATAACACTTCCGTTTCCGCGCGATATCTCGAGAACCCTTTGAGCTTTTGCGATGAAATTTTACATAACAACTCCCTGTGGCCTAAGAAAGACCCCTATTGAGGTCAAAGGTTCAAAGTTTAAGGTTGTAAATTTATAAATTATGTCTTTGTGTAACAGTATCCTTTCCGGGCGATATTTCAAGATTTTGAGCTTTTGCAATATAATTTTTTACCAAAACTCCCTAGGATCTCTCTCACCCCTCTCAAAGTGTCCCACCCGTTTGTTTAAATAGTATTTATTATATTACGTGTCGCTATTCTTAGAACAGTTATTGTGTGTAAAGCAGGTTCTCAACGGACCTTATATTCTTATTACATCAATAGGAACTGTTTAATAAAGGTTAAATTAGACACCATGCAAATCTATAACATTTTAACAATATCGAACGTGAATATATACACTGTACACGTATGTGACTTCATCTTTGCATATAATTTTTGTCGGATTTACGCGGTTCCGTGGTGTAGTGGTATGTCTCTCGCTTCAAGTGCGAGATGTCCCGGATTCGAATTTTGATCAATCCTTTTCTTTTTTGTTCCGAAATACTTTTTGTTTTACTTAATGATAGTATTCAACATGTGAAATGAAAAATTTATTAGGTCTGGCTTTTACAAACTCATAAAATCATCATTACAGTCTGATAAATATTCCATCTAAAAAGAATCTTCTATCCACATAATAAAGAATAAGCAATCAAATCTTTATATCCATATTGGCTTATTTTGTTTGCTTCAGTATACAAGTATACATTTAACAATTCTACAAAGTCAGTCAGGGGGATCCGATACCCCCCCTTCCCCCTAACTGCGTATGGTGTATTTTATCCCTATGTAAGGGACACAAACTCTCTGAATTACCCGTATCTTGTTACTTTCGCTTTAGGGTGCATTAATGACGACCGGAACATTGGCCTTAGAGTTGTTCCCTGCTGAGTCACGTGGTTTTATCCTCTTTGCGGCTAGCATTGTTTTTACTTTTTCTATCACGTCAATATCTCTAGTAGCCTACCTTCTCAGGAACCTATCCTGGAGATACACTATGCTTGCTGCCGGAATAATAGGCTCCCATAGCCTGGCTTCACGCTGGTATGTGCATTATTATAATTTCATTTAGCTATGTAATGTTTTTGGAATGATGTATGTAGACATTGCATAACATAAAAAATGTATTCAGTTATAAGCGGCATTTCCTTCTCTTGTACAAGGTTTATTTAAAGAATCTGGGGGGATAAGGCGAGTCATATGCCCACACGGATTTTGTCGCTCTGTAAGCATTTCGGATTTTCACAGTTGTACGATTTACCTAGACATTTAAACTTTGTACAGCGCTGTCCAAATGACAATACTAGTATCTATTTTTAAAACCTTACGGTTATCGTTACTTGATGCTTTTCATATGCATGTTAGTTATTCTATCAAATATGTTTTAGGGTTTGGGAGATAGTACGCTCTACCTTTCGTAATAACTGTTTTTTTGCATACAGAACAGCCATAGCGCGCTGGTCTACCCATGACAGTTTACATTTCAATCGTGTAATGTAGTCTTGAACTGAATGCATTCAAAATGTTATAAACACATGTAGCTAGAAAACTTGTTTATTAAAGGAAATATATTAATTGACCGTAAATAAATTCATCATCTTATCTTTTCATTCTGTTTTTAATGAAAAAATAAATTTATGTAAATTTCAACCTAAACTTTAAAGAAATTGTGATTCGAACACTCGCGACAAATAACTGGGTGCTTCAACACCGCCGCTATGACTACTGAGCCACGAAGTCGCACATACATTGCCCTTTAAATAGCATATAGTTCTATATGTATAGTGAACGCACAATTTGACTTGGAGTTTTTGAGAATATGTTGCGAAACTTAAGTAGGAAACCTAACTTTTTTATATAGAGTGGGTCTTCGTACCATTTTTTTTAAAATGGCGAAAGATACATTCCTCAATACACTTTCAATATTTGTTTACAAAAAAATGGTACGAAGACCCACTCTACATAAAAAACAGAATTTTAACATTCAATTTCTATCATTTTTACGGTTACTAAAGCGTGTTACCATTTTGGTAGGTTAATTACAATTAATTTGTAAGTAATTTGATTCAGGTTTTATCTTTACTGTATGCATATGGTTATAAATAACTCCCAAATCTAACAAAAAGTGGAATTTGCAAGAATTTTTTTAATCGATATTTTACCTGCCCTTGTGTAGGCATATGACTCGCCTAATCCACCCAGATTCTTTCTTAACATTTCTCTGTATGATTTATATTTATTTTTATTACTTCAGGAATGATTGTCAAATATTTTCTACATTTTCCTACATTTTACTACGCCTTCCAAATTGAGTCCTCTATTGAATTCAACTTATTTTTTTAAGGATTCTACAAGAGTCCCTGCGTTGGCTCATCGTGAATGGCAGAAATAAAGAAGCAAAGGAGTGGATCCAACGAGCTGCCAGGTGGAACAGGATGGACCCCTCCCAAATACTAGCCGGGTTTGACTCGGAACTGCAGAGTAGGGAACGGCAGATGCTAGTTGATGAAAACAATGAGCTAACTACATGTATACCTGAGGCTAATGGCGAACCAACCGGACCCGGAACTGTGCGGTTTAACTCCTATAAAACGGAAGAGAAGTTGTCTGTATCAGATATTTTCAGGAATAAACAGATGCTTCTGACCTCTGTATTGGTCTGGGTGGTATGGTAATTATCATTTTGCAACATTATTTGCTATTCACCTTATATTTATTTTCATATTTATTATATATTTATTCTTGTATGCATTTATTATCTTTTTAGGTCACCTGAGTAAACTCAGGTGACCTATTGCTATCTGTTTTCGTCCGTCGTCGTCCGTCGTTTGTCGTCCGTCGTCCGTCGTTCGTCGTCCGTCGTGTGTTAACATTTGAACATTTTCAGCTTCTTCTCTGCAACCACTGAACCAATTTCAACCAAATTTGGCACAAAACATTTATGGGTGAAGGGGGACAAAAATTGTGAATTTCATGATCCCTGCCCCCCTGGGGCCTGAGGGGTGGGGCCAAAACCACTAAATTTAATGCAATCTTTAAAAATCTTCTTTTTTACTCCTGGACATCAAGCAGTCAAAATGTTGGCATGATTGTAATCAGCATTGAGTCCTCAACCAAAATTGTGAAATTCATGGCCCCAGGGTCAGGGGTTCTGGAGTTAGGGTGGGGCTCTGTTGATCATAGACAAAATTACATAAATTCTTTAGAAATCTTCTTCTATTCTTCTGTGTATGAAACAGACAAACTTTGTGCATGGTTATGATGATCAAGGATGCCCCTTCCCAAATTGTGAAATTTGTGGCCCTGGGGTGAGAGGTTCTGTCTGTTGGAGGGGGTGGGGCAGTTAATACTTGTCATTGTTGAAAATGCAATTAAGCATTGAGAATCTTTAAAAAAAAAAATACCTATTAAACTTGCACTGAGAAATATGTGTGTAATATTGTTGTTTATAAAAAAAATTATGAAATTTATGCACTCGGGAGAAGAAAACTTTTTTTCAATCGATTTAAAATAAATTCGGAAATTTGCTTGCTTACTATATTCACTTCGTGCATTAGAATATCTAATGGAGGCTCGCGCATGCGTAGAACAATCCAGCATCTTCCGACAAGTCGAGAAGTCTAGTCTTGGGAACATTCAACTTTCAAGTTGTCATAATACGATTTAGTCTTTTTTTTTTAGGTCTTAGAGTTTGTATAACGAACGGTGGGTATGATTGTTGCAGTTTTTTTTAGTTTAAACAGCATGGAATATATAACGTGCTATTGCGAATATCTTTTTGGATTTTAGCTTGGTTTCACATGAACGATAATGAAGGAAAGTTGGTTCGAGCAATATGTGAATGTTCTAATAAACTATCTTACTGTGTATTTATATTTTGTTTTTGTATAATTATGTCGAAAATGTATAAAGAAGTTGCAATGTTATGAAATGTTAAGTTCGAATTTTCTCTAGAGAAAACAATGGCGTTGATTAGTTTATAGGCACAATGAGAGGCAGGTTTGGTTCAATCACTAGATTTAGATACGTACCTGGTAGCTTGTATTAGGCCTACAGTATTAAGCATTTTTATCCAGAAACAACAGGAGAATGTACTTTGATTCAGTGATAATTTTTAACTTTGAACTCATCTGAAAACAATTCATGAAAAAAATAATACTTGGTGATGTTTCTTTTTCTGTGCATAAATAAATATTAGTAGACATTTACTTGTGAATTTTTGCCTTTTTAAGATAAAAAGCGAAATTGTAAAAAGTTGCTTTACATAGCTAAATAAATCTACCTGGGGAATAAATCTACCTGGGGTAGGTAAATATAGGATCTCCCATGGTTTGTAGAACTGATTTTATCCAACGAGTTGTGTGATTTTTATTCCCTTTATGTAGGACTCGGATATATTTTTTACTTCATCACGCTAACGCAAAAACCATTGTGACATCATAACTGCACTTGAGTGTGGGATATGAAAACGATATCCAATGAGCTATATCCATGGGATAAAGGGGTAAACATGGGATAAATAAAGCTACCCTAGGTAATTTTAGATACATATTAGGTAGATTAAAAATTCATTGGCCCCAGACCAGCCGGCCATCAACATGACCACTCAATCCAGATCACTTAAATTTTCAATGTTTTTCATTTTAAAGATGAGTTGCACATATATGAAAAGATTTGACTACTACAGTGAAGTCGCCAATTCCGGGTCACATCAAGGTGTTTCATTAATATTTTGTAACGTCAGATTTATATTTTATGCAATATATGCATTGAAAGTACAAATAGTGAGTCATCCAAAAGTATTGATCACATGAACTGCAATTGGAGAAACTACTACAATTTGATTTATTAATCAGCATGATCGGTGTAATTTTATTTTAGCAGTGATCATTATGATTGATTTCTGAATTTAGAACTAAATGTGTGTGATATACTTTCGTGCTATTATTGTTTATCTAGAACTCTTATGTCAGCTTTGCTGTACCGAGCAAAAAGAAAGTAGCCTGTCAACAATGCAGAAACATCGCCGACTTCAATGTGCGCGTTTCATAATTTTGTTGGTGGAATGCTCTCTTTAAGTTGATTTTTAAAATTTTGTAATTAATTACAGACAGAAAGGCAATTCTACATGACCAATGTATTTATTAAGTTTTTACGCTTTAATTTTAACAATATGGCATTAAATGCACATGAGTGACCCAGAATAGGAGACAACCCGGAATTTGCGACTCCACTGTACTTGGATTCTGATATTGTGTTTAATTATGAGAAAATTACCAGTTGTTGACAGTCATTATTGCAAAATATTGCATATAGAGAACACCATTGTCCAGATAACTTCTACAATTTTTTAAGTAGTATATATTAGACAAATCAATTGTACATATATCAGAGATTCGCATGGTACTTGCCAATTGGATTTGGAATTTTGATCATTTATGGGAAAAATACTATTTGTTGAACTTTTTCATATGTATGCAAATAGATTACATTGATTTGCTGGAATGTGACATCCAATATTTAAGGTGGTGTTATCAAACTTCATATGTTGATACATACTAATGAGAGCTATTCAACTGTATCAACATTTTTATGGCGTCGAGCGAAGCTCAAGCATGATCTAGTGATCGGTAAGATTTACGCTATCGAATGTGTCAGTGGATGCATATGCATCCGCAATAGAAAATAGCAACAGCTGTAAATCAATTTCTTTGAAAACGCTCACAGTGAATAATAGCTTGAATATAAGATTACGTCAAATTGTATCCAATGCGCCCGAAATTTTTTCGGGGCGCATATTGTTTGTCCTGTCTGTTTGTCTGTTTGTCTGTCTGTCTGTTGTCAACTTTAACCTTCACCAAAACTTTTGAACCGTAAGAGATAGAGACTTCATATTTGGTATGCATACTCCTCTAATAAAGTTCTTTCAAATGACATCAAGGTCAATGACCTTGTGACCTTGACTGAGCTATATGCTAAAAATAGCTTTTTCAACTGTTTGTAATAACTTTTGAATCATAAGAGATAGAGACTTCATATTTGGTATGCATACTCCACTAATTAAGTTCTTTCAAATGACATCAAGGTCAATGACCTTGTGACCTTGACTGTGACCTATATGCTAAAAATAGCTTTTTCAACTGTTTGTCATAACTTTTGAACCATAAGACATAGAAACTTCATATTTAGTATGCATACTCCACTAATAAAGTTCCTTCAAATGACATCAAGGTCAATGACCTTGTGACCTTGACTGTGACCTATGGTATATGCTAAAAATAGCTTTTTCCACTTTTTGCCATAACTTTTGAACCATAGGAGATAGGGGCTTCATATTTAGTATGCATACTCCACTAATAAAGTTCTTTCAAACAACACCAAGGTCAATGACCATGTGACCTTGACTGTGACCTATATGCTAAAAATAGCTTTTTCCACTTTTTGCCATAACTTTTGAACCATAGGAGAAAGGGACTTCATATTTAGTATGCATACCCGACTAATTAAGTTGTTACAAACAACACCAAGGTCAATGACCTTGTGACCTTGACTGTGACCTATATACTAAAAATAGCTTTTTCGAACTTTGTTGACGCTGGGCGCATAGTGTTTCACAAACACATCTTGTTTGAAATTGTATTTCTTGTTCGACGCCTTTGAAGCCATTCACGGTTTTGATTTTTACCTAGACCTTTACTTTGACCTTGACCTCATTTTCTTAAATTAGTGTTTAGTTCAATTTTAAAGAAATCATCCAAGTTATTTTCATTAAACTTTATATGTTGATTAGAGTTAATCAACTGCACCAACATTTTTTTTTACCTTGACCTTTCCTTGGCAACAGTTTACATCATAATGATGATTTCTTTGGCTCACCTCCAGGAAGTCGAGATAAGCTTTTTGCTATACCTTTATGATGAATTGTCAGTGTAAGTATCCAGGTTAAAGTTTTAGGAGCAGGTCCATTTCCAAGTAATAATAAGTGCCGACTGGGCCAAACTTGCACAAGTGACACATCTAGATATGGACACTACCACACTTGCTTTGGATGCTGGATCTGACCTAGTTTTTCCAGATGAAAGACCAGGTCAAACTTTTTGGATTCCCATGTAACTTTAAGCCTACCTGGACCAAACTTTATACACCTAAGGATGAATTATACTACCACACTTGCTTCAGATGATAAAATCTGCCTAGGGTTTTCAAGATAAATGACCAGGTTAAATTTTTTGGAGCAGGTACCTAACTATTGCCCCTACCTGGACCAAAATTGTATGGGTGATACTTCTATTACACATGCTGATAGGTTTTAGTGAGAGTTGTTCAATAGCTTAAAAAAACTTTTGACCCTGCACTTTTCTGTGACCTTGAGCTCAATTTTCTTTAATTTGCATTTCACTTAGTTTTAAAATATATTTATGTAAGTTTATGCACTTGTTCATGATTTGATGAGATTTTATTATCTATGCATGTATCATTATACCCCCTGCAAACGAAGTTTGGGGGGGGGGGGGTATATAGGAATCAGCTTGTCTGTTTGTCTGTCTGTGCAAACGTGACTGGTCCATATCATTTATACAGAGGAACATTGGAATCAACTACTTCATGCAAAGATTGGTCATGACCTTTTGGTGTGTCATGACCTTAACCTAAGGTCATCTGTGAAAGTTC